AGTTAACGTCATTTCCATGAGTAAATTGAATTATAGTATTAATAATGAAATGCAGGCGTTTTGCCAAACCGTTACATTTTTCTGTTGGTGTAAACGTCCTGAGTTACTTCTTTTCTTTCATGGATGTAAATTATACAACGAAATCGACTATTAATACAAGAAATTCATAATTTCTTAAAAAATTAAACGAGTTAAAAAATTTATTAACCAATTTGTAATTAAAATTTCATTTTTAATTTTAACCTATGACTATTCTAACGGACGCAAATAAATTAATAAAAATGCATAATAACTTATAATATAATACCAATTTTTATTGTGAATAAAACGGAAAAAAGTTATTTTCTGTTATAAAATCAGCGAATACCAAACCTTGGTGGTTTCATTTACTTTATTAAGACTAATAGACATCGTGCTCCAGAATTAATGTAATCCTCTCCAGTTAATGGCCGCGTAACTGTTATACGAACATAAATATATCAGTTGTAACACGTTAGCAAAGCTATAATTCATAATTTAAGAAAAAAAAAACATAAATTACCGTAGACTCCTGTCAAAAAAATTACAGCAATATTACATGACTACTAAATCTTTGTTTAGGGCTCAGTTTAATCAGAGATTTTATATTATAAATAGTATTTTGATACAGGTACGCATACGTGGTATAGAATCATTGTAAGCTAAGCGTACGTTTCCACTAAAATTTCGTACAAAAACTTGTGACAGTGGAAATCCAAATAATAATATAGGGGATAAACGCAATTACACGCAATTTATAGAAACAATATTTAGTAGTCTGATCCAGTAACTTTGGAAAAAACTCAGAGTATTTTAATTTAGAACACGCTTTATATTTCATAGTTAGATTTACGTTCAGACGCGGGCGGTCCTTTACAAAGTTTTCGGAGTTCCTCTCTCCCATTATTTCATACAGACCGCAAACCGCCAACGCCACGTTCATTTTGTATTCGGAATTGCAACGAAATGAATCTGTTCCATAATGAGATTTTACCACTACAAACTTCGAATCTAAAAAAAAATAAAAAAAAAGAATTTAATGTAGACGAAAGTGTTGATAAATATTTTTTCTATACAATACCTTTATCCGATTTAATTTTTTGGTATTCGTTTGGTTTTTAAGGCAAACACATTTTGTTTGAATCTTGAAACTATAAATTGAACTAAAATACAAAATCCTTTTTGTATTCAAGGATAGACCCTGGATTGGAAATATATTATTAATGTATTTAATGTTTGAGACAGACAAGTTATGGATCGTGTGGGCATAATTCAAACGAAATTAACTCAATAGCGCCCCTGTTAAGTTCTAAAAACTGTCAAAAGATACTTGTATAGTCCTAAAAGGATCTTGTAGCCTACAAGTACCAGGATTATAAGGGGGTAAAAATTTCCTAATTTCTTCCGAAAGTCATCTACACCTCCAAGTAATTGATCTTCAACTTATCCAGGAGGTTTACGGTTCGTTCCTTACAGATTCTCGAACTACTATTCAACTCGAGTTTGGTCACCGAGGGTGGTTTCAGTGTGTCAAATTCCACATAACCGTCTTCTTCCCTTAAGGCAGGGTATCTTTAGTAATGAATCTGTGTACTAGGGAAATTTTCATTTGATGGCTGTTGCCCGCGTCTCCGTTCGCGGGGAATTAAAAAAAATGCCTATATATTTATCCAGACTATGTTCTACATATATGCTTAATTTCAGCGAGATCCGTTCAACCGTTCCGGAGATACTCTCAAACAAACATCCATCCATCTAAACATTCGGATTTATAATATTAGTAAGAAGTAAGAGAATATATTAGTATGGAAAATGCAACCTTTACTTTTATATCTGACCTTTATAAAAGCTATGAGTTTAAATAACATAAATTGTACCCTTTGATATAGACAAAGCTAGGGATAAACGTTGTAATATATTTATAGAAAATCGTTGCGTAGCCTATTGAAGCGCTTTACTCATATTGATCCGAGGCTTAGGGGGATTAATAATTCACGGCCAGATGTGATCATGTTACTAGAATATCTACTCATAATATTTTCAACACACCAATAAAAGTTTAGCAACAATTTTTATTCCACAAAATCTGAGTTAAACGAAAACTTCGAGGAGATAAAAATTAATATCACTTAAGTGTTGCCTCAGTGTAATATTAGCTAACAGTGTTAGAGCCCGCTTTAACATCTTCGCACGAATCGGCCCGGCTCGACCGGTGAAATACCACGACCACACAGAAGACAGGTGTGAAGTGGAAGCCTAATTTAATCCTCTTTCCCTTCCCACCCTTTTTCCCATAAAGAAAGGATGGGAAGTGGAAGTGGACTTTACGGATGAGAGGATGCATGAAAGGGGAAAATATTTTCTTTCTGTCCATCCTCTCCTCCGTCCATTAAAGGAAGGCAACGCATATGCAATTGCGTGTGTCCATGGGCAATGGTCACTTCGCTATTCAGCGATTTCAGGTGGCCGCTCGCTCGTTTGCCACCTTATGATATAAAAAAAGAGAGTACCTTAGTTACAAGTAAACGATAACAAATGTAGTTATTCATTTATTTCGTGTTGCTAACTTTAAGTTAAAAAAAGTCTTACTTTACCAACTTGACAGTCGAGTAATTAAGTGAATTATTATATATCAAAGTTAAAGTATAAAGAAGTCGAAGTACAAATTTAGTAGAAAAAAAATATTTTTCTTGTAAAAGATAATTTCTACTAAAACTAAATGTTAAAGATGCAAATAACAAGATATAAGGAGAGATGCCAAGAAATATGTTAATCAGATACCACTCTATGAATATTCAGAGATAGTTAATTAAAAAACAATGTTCAATTTTTTTTAATAATTGTTAAATATCGTACTTCTTACTTATATTATAAATGCGAATGTTTGGATGGATGTATGTTTGAAGGTATCTCCAGAAAGGCTGAAAGGATCTTGATGAAATTTGGCATACATATATAACATAATCTGGAAAGACACATAAGCTACCTATTATGTTTCTCTTAATTCCGCGCGGACAGAGTCGCGGTCGACAACTAGTATACTTATAAAAGCAGATTATGATTATACTTTACTTCCTAAGTAAACTTTACCTTTATATTTTATTTATCAAATTAAAGTTATTAATTTGAAAAAAAAAATACAAAACTATGGTTATGTTTGTTTACGTAAGAACCATTGTTGTCCAAACCCTGCTATAATATAATTTTCTTAATAACAGGTACGTACAAAACAACGTTCTCCCTCAAGAATCTGAAATGTACTTAACGGTTTACAAAGCACAGTATGAACCTCTCAACCTCTGACAAGTGGAGTGTTTTCCTAAAATAATATCCCCCTTAAACATTATTGGATTGAACAACTGAACGAGAAATTATATTACATCATTTTTCCTATAATTATATTGTCACCCGCAACTCTATCCTAGCAGAATTAAAAAAACTTTATAACTAGCCTTTGCGTTGTTCCAGACTATGTTCTAAATTTGTGTCATATTACAGCGAGATCCATGTAGCCATTCTGGAGATACCTTGTAAGTAATTATCCATCCATCCATCTAAACTTTGGCATTTATAATATACTAGATTTTAACCGCGACTCTGTCCGCGCGGACTTAAAAAAATAATTAGTCTATATGTTCTTCCTCACTATGTTCTATATCTACGCCAAATATCAGCAGGATCCGTTCAGGCGTTCTGGAGTTATCTTCAAACAAACATCCATCCATCTAAACATTCGCATTTATAATAATATTATAATAAGAAATAATTATTAAGATAAAGCTTTAGCTTTCGTAATATTTATAGTACAAAATCAACGTAATATAATAATAGAAAGTTTAGATGGATGGATGTTTGTTAGAAGGTATTTCCTAAACGGCTCCAAGGAACTTAATGACATTTGGCACAAATATAGTCTGGAAGACCACATAGTCTACTAACTAATTAAGTTTTTTTTAATTCAACTAAAAATAAAACATTAAAAATGAAATACAAAAATTATAATATTGTTTATCCTTTTTCGAAGATATCCTTCAATTATATCGTCGACGGTTACCAAGGACGCAGAGCAGAAAGGGGCTCTCACTCAATCTAAACGAGAAAAGCTTTCTGAGCGATTCCTTTCTATTCCTATTCCATCAGCGTGACTCGCAAATTACCTCGTGAATGTACCGAAACGAAATGGGATACCCTTTCCAGTTATGTACTCCTAGTACTTTGTTCAAATTAGTTTTCTCTCAGAAGCTCATTTCTTAACGCTAATTGAATCGAATAAAGTTTTCTTCATTAAACTTAATATATCTTTTTATCTAGTTTATTTTTTATTTAATAAAACTACAAGCTAAAAAAAAATCATCCCAAAAATCCTAATGAGGCTAACCTATCATATTGTACCTAAGTAATGTAACAAAGTCTTAAGTTAACAATACTTTTTCTAGCCAATTCATTAATATATTAAAACTTCTTACTCTCTCCATTAGTAACTTTGGTTCTCAATTTGGATCTCATAAACATCAAAGAAAATGAAAAATACAAAGAAAACAAAAAAAGACAGATTTGGAAAACGAATCGACGAACGAAGCACAAGCGTACAGCTTAGTTGGAATGGTAAAAGAAATATTAGTAAATTTACAAAAAAAAAAATATTTGGTGTAAACTGGCCATAGATAAATGAAAATTAAAATTTTATAACTACCGTCGTTATAAAAATAAAATATAGAATTTTCTTTAAAAGCACACTCTTCAAGATTTTCCTTATAACATGTAATTATTTACCCTGGAATGTTACACGAATCCTTTTTTATACAAGATCAATGTTTATAGAACAATTACGCTAATTAATAAATAAAATTAAAAAATATTACGATGTTTTTCAAATATATTTAATACTATTAATAAATTGAACATCCTTGTAATCAGATTTAGTAACAGACAAGGATACAATAGGTACAAAATTTAAAATAACCTCAAATTTTAAAACTTACCTTGGCATGTTTTCCATTTTCAGGCTTTTCTTAATGTGTTCTTTTAATTATTCCAAATATGTATTAACAATGTTTATTATATTTATAATCATTGGAAAAACAAGCATTATTTCCCGCCTATTTACAGAACGTCCTTTCACGGTGAAAGGCGGGCGCGAACTGAAGGCGCCATTCGATTGACATCGGGGTGTTATTTGATATCTATAGAGCTGCAACTAAGACGTAAATCAAATGTAATATCTATTTTCGTTATTGATCGATTAAGACGGGAAAGTTTGGATAACGTGTTTACTTTTGATTTGGGTTAAAAAATATATTCTACTTTCTATCAACAGAACGTAATTATGAAAGATTTTTAAAATTTTAAATCACATTATCGTGGGTATCAACAATCGAAACACTAATTTAAAATATTGTTATCTATTTTTTTTTAATTAATTAGAAATATTGAATAGTAATTGGTATAGATAAGTCCAGTTTACTGCTTCATTTAAAATACTATCGTTGAATAATCTTATTTCCTACAAATATTATAAAAGGATGTTTCTTTGAAATCTAAACGAATCTTTATGAAATTTACATAGATATAGAAAGTAATCTAGAAGAACACATAGGCTACTTATTGTGTGTTTTTTTTAATTCTTGACTGTGTGTGTGTGTAATTGTGACTTAGAAGGCAGCCAAATACTCCTAGATAATCTATACCATCGTAAAAATATCCTGTAATGACAAATTATGTTTATACATATGTCATTAGACACATGGAATAAGGTAAAATGACCTCACTTTGCGTCTATAACCCATGTCAATCGTTACGTAAAACGTAAATTACCATCGTAAATAACAAAGTAACAACTCTATATGTGTCCCTATAAATTAACGTTGGAAATTGTAGCGTACGTCCCGTCTCCCCCGGACCGCCCTCCGTCCCCCCGCCCGCCCAGCAACAGTTTGCCTGAAATGTTGCCAGGATATAGATGTAATTTCCTCAATTTATTATAAATAGCTCCTTGTTTTATAGAACTAAAAATAGAGTGTAGTTATAAATTTATAACACAGTAAATAAATAACATATGTAGCTAAGAAAAATCGATTATTCCTCAAAAAAATCGGGAAAATATTTCTAGATCTATTCACAGATTTCTAGAAAATGTTTACACCTACTACCTTCAAAACATAATATAACTTTTTCTTTTATCTTTTGGCTAATAACATAATTTCATCGTATCTCAAAATTTACACAAAATGGCCGTCATGAATTTGACGTTTCACTGTTTAAGCTTTTTATGAAAACCTATATATGTATTCACAAGTAAACAATACTTTATAACTGGCTGCATTGATCGTTTAAAAAGAAAAAAAAAACGCTTATAAAACGTCCAATTCCAATTAACACGCGAAGAAATTACTTTTCCTGTCCCGCGACAACCCTTTGGCGTTTGCAAACTCTATATGGGACGGTACAAACCATTTTATTTTACATTCTATTCACACAAAAATCGATTATATTTCAAAGGAATAACGGTTATCGTAGATACATTTAGTATATTTGTTATAAACATTATTTGTTTCGTTCACTTTTATAATAGTCTCTAATAGGCGTATTATTTTGATGACCCATTGTGTATATCCTATATTTAGTAACTGTACAATGACCATTAAAACTTTGGTCATAAAATGTACGTAATATTAAAAGTTTTAAATGACCAAATAAACTCACATTTCTTGATATGAAATGTTGAAGACGTATTAAAGCGAGAAATACTTACGACGATTTCATTTTTTTTTTTAATTTATAAAATTGTATTCAAATTTGTGTTTCCAATACTTATCAAATATCCTTCATATTATACTATAGGCCTAATTTAGTCTTTTTTAATTTCCCACCCTTTATCCTATAAGAAAAGGATGGGACGTGTAAGTGGATTTTCCGGATAAGGGGATGCTTGGGAAGGGAAAATGTTCTCTTTCTGTGCGTCCTCTCCTCCATCGATTAAAGGTAAGCAACGCATCTACAATTGCTTATGTCTATGGGCAATCGTCGATTCGTTATTTCAACGATTTCAGGTGCCGTTCGCTTGTATCTTATAATATAAAAAAAAACGAAGGAAAACCTTTGAATACAAGTATTAAAACAAATTTTCTGTGTTTAAGTAAAATTTCACATAGACACTTGATTTTCAAAGCTCTTAAGTTAATGGTGACCTAGATAGACAATAGGAATAACTTAGAGTGAACTTGACTATAGAACTAAGTTAAGTGCATCTCAATACAATGACCTTGACCTTGTGATGTGTCATAGACAAAAGACGAGCGTAACTTAAGCTATACATAAGCATACTCAAGTCTTATTTAACACGACTTTGTAACATGAAACGTATTAATTTACTTCTAATTTGATAAATAATATTTTATGTCGTATTTTTTAAGTTTTGGGGAGTGGTAGTCTAAAACCTCGTCATAAATAAACAGAGAGGGGTCAAAAAGTTGCTAAAATAACATCACATTACCAGGGGACGGCTCCTTAGTTAATTGTTAACTATATAATACATCCATTCCATGTTACCATTTATCAATTTTACCGTACATTTTCACTGCGGTGACATTTCTATTAATACTGTCTATGGTTTGTCAAAAAGGAAAAAAGGGATGTCAATATGTATAAGTCAATACGTATACGTACAATTTGTATGCAATACTAGCGCTCGCCCACGACTGTTCGCGCGTTTTATGTCTATGCCAAATTTCATCGCGATCCGTTTAGCCGTTCTGGAGATACCTTTAAAGAAACCATCCATCTAAACATTCTCAGTTATAATAGTAAGATCCATACAAATGGCACTACAGTGGACTTTTACGATTATACTTTAACGTCCCTAGGGTTACTATTACGATAATTTAGGGCGAAATGTTTACATTTAGGGCGTGTATTACGAATCGCGATACCAAATGAAACATGTTATTCAGTAAAATTACTTTAATTTTGCTTTCAACTTGATTAATTTAATTGTTTAGAATATTATGCGTGAATAGATTTTATTTGTGAGTACAATTTTTCACCCATATTCTTCCACTTTTTTAACCAAATAATAAAAAAATTCAACCAACATTATTTGCAATAACAAACTATTAAGCTAATTGTTATTGTCTAAACAAACTCAGAACATAAAGGAAAAGTTTTACTTAACTAGATCCATATTTTATTACCGGTGCGGCATAAATCTTTTCTATCTGATCTTAACGTTTGGTGTATCGAAAATGATTTATAATATTCATATTTGGGATGTTTTCTGTAAGTATAGGTTTAAAAAACTAATACAGGGTGGCCCATAAGTCCTTTGATATGAAAAAAAAATATTAAAATAAAACTAATTACATTATGAATTAAATTTTTATTTACAAAAAAAGCTTAAAAAACGGGAATTATTTTTTGAACATAACATTTTCTAAATGTAATCGTTGCGATCACGGCACTCTTGCAAACGACGTCTAAAATTGTCGATGACTGCGCGGCACGTCACTGCTGAAATGCTTGTCATTTCTCTGCGGATGTTTTCTTTTAGGGCCTCAATTGACCGCGGGTTTGTGTCGTATACTTTAGCCTTAAGGTAGCCCCACAAAAAAAAATCCATCGGGGTCAGATCTGGACTACGTGGAGGCCAGGAAATGTCTCCTCTCTTAGAGATCACTTTGCCAGGAAAAAGTTGACGGATAACGGGCATAGCAGTGTTAGAGGTGTGAGAAGTGGCCCCATCCTGTTGAAACCACGTCCTGGCATTAAAGCCTGAAAAGTTTTGCAATTCTGGTATGAAAAACTCTTCGATCATAGCCACATATCGCTCCGACGTAACAGTAACTGCGCGCCCTCTGCCATCCTCAAAGAAGTAAGGCCCTAGGATACCATGGGCTGACATAGCGGCCCAAACAGTCACTTTCGGACTATGTAAGGGCTTCTGATGCTTAAGTTTTGGAATGATGGGGCTCCAATAGCGGCAATTTTGTTTACTAACATTCCCGTTAAGATGGAAATGAGCCTCGTCAGAGAACATTATGTTGTTGAAGGAAGTAAACCGATTCAACATTTCATTCGCATAATTTTGT